TGCGCAGTGTCGCTCTTTGCGCTCTTGTTTTCCTCGCAACGCGGAACGAACGAACTTTGTTTTGTTGTTCGATACAATTGACGGAGAGAAGAAGGCGAATACATACGAGATCGAAAAAAAAAAGTATAATCGGAAGAGATAGAATTAAGGAAAATTAACTATGTAACAAAGAGTTAGGAATCAAGTGAACGGTAACGAAACGGTGAATGTCGAGTGAGTGGTGACGAGATCTCGTGGACAAGGGGAGGGCCAGTGTGGTACACGAAAACCGGTTGCGTTGAGAAGGTCAGTTACTGATCCGGTGTCAAGAAACGCGCGAATTGAACGTTGCGTGGCGTCGATTATTTTGATTAGTTTCATTTACGAAAAGTTTCGCGTAAAGTGAAATCTTCGAATATTGATTGCACGCATCCTCGTTCGACAACATATGAATTTCGTTTGAGGCGCCAAAGGCCAAGGTTGTCGTTTCGCGTGAGCTCTCGCAGAGAGATAGAGAAGGAGAAAGAGAAAGGAAAGAAGAGGAAAGTATCTAGCACGTGGGCGAGCACGGAAGAGCAACCGGCCTCTGCGCGTCGTCGTTGACACAAAGAGTAGAGAGAAAGTGGGAAAGGTAAGTGTTATGTAACATTGAATGCGAGAATGCCGATTCAAGGGGAACTGGCATTACATTTATGTCTACTTGTGTTTTTTTTTTTTTTTTCTTTACATGTATGAAACAGATTAGTCAAATCGATTCCATGATCCATTGCTTCTGTTAGGATAATATTTTTTTTCTTTCTCTCTTTTTCGATTATCATTTAAACATTCATTTCGCTTTTATCAGATCACAATGAAATTTCTTTTTTTCTTTAATGGTAAAAAAATATAATGGTATAATAAAAATTAATTATTTATAAAAACTGTAATTATGTTAATCTACAGTCAGGTACAAAAGATTATTAACATTAGAATTTGAATGAGCAATAGATTATAAAGAATTACAATTATATATTTCTGTATATATTATATTATATTCAATTATAATAAATTCAAAAAAGTTTTTTGAGATTGAGTCTTTTTGATTGAGAAAATTTCTTGTTTTTTTCCTCATTCTTATTTAAGCGTTTTTTAATCCGGATTCTTTTAGATTATTAATAATTAAATTTTATTATATCATGTTGAATCATTTCGAGAACCAAAGATAAAAAAAAAATTTTTTTCAGTTTTTAAAATCACAATTTTTTCAAATCAATATCGTAATTTGTTTTTTTATTAAGTAGAATAAAAACAATTAATTTAACGAACGAAAACTTTTTTTTTTTTTTTTAGATTTCTTGCATTTCCTTTTTCTGATACAAAGAAAAACACAAAATATTTTTGAATGCATATTTTAAAACAAATGTTTTTGACAGAAATTAAATTTTCTATTAAAATTCTATTAAAGACTTTAATAAAGATATCGAAATTGTATAAATTTAATAAGTTAAGTTAATGGCTCTTTAGACAATCAAAGGCCATTAACTTTCTACTTAGTTTCAGAATCTGCATAAAATTATATATGTATGTCATTATATATGCATATTTTTAGAATATAATAATTGTAAAAAATTAATTAGAGAATATGATTAGAAAAAAATATAAGAAAAAAAAAATTTATACATATGTATGTAGTGAATTCAACAAAAAAACGTTTTGTATGAAATAATGTAAATAATTAATAATAAAATGTAAATAATAATATAATATTGAATATTTATAAATTTATTGAATATCGAATAATATTTTGACGACTTTGAAATTCTTCAATAAAAAAATCTGCATATAGCATTTATATTATGGTTTTAATTATAATAATAGTTATCGAAGTTGAAATATAGTAATACTGAAATTTGTCAAGAAAATGAAAATTGAAATTGCATTATTCGAAAACTGTTTGTTGTAATGTTGTGCATGGTTAGAAAGTGAAATATTTTTTTTTCCTGCAAAACAAAAAATACGTTACGAAACTGTTATGTATACTACGATTAATTAAAAAATATATATTCTATTCACCTCGTCGTATAAACAGCTTGTTTCAAAGAAAAATGGTATGAAAGCTTGTTATGAAAAGAAATACGCAATGTAATAATTAGTATATTGCTATTTTATTTTTTATAAAAAATGAAAAAAATTTAGTTTTAAATTTTTTAGTTATAATGAATAATATAGGAAGCTATAATTATAGGTAATAATAAACGCTGAAACTATTAAAGTAAATGGATTTAGAAAGATAAGATAATAATTGAAAAACACATATATTTAAACATATGCCATTTATATTTTATGAATCGAATATTTTTTTTTTTGTATTTTTTTTGTATTGGATAAGATTTTATTTTAAAGAATTTGTAAAAAACTAAAAATTGTTATATTCTATTTTAATATCGCGTATCTGAAAATTATTAATTTTTAAATCTTCGGATAAATTTTATCTAGTTTTTTTACATTTGCTTTTTCAATTGCAAAATTAAATGTTATTATTGCAATTAAAAAATATAGAATGATCTATAAAAATATATCTATAATATCTATAAAAAATAAAATAACAAAAGATTAATTATTAGATGCTCTCTTCATTCCATAAATTTTTTTTTTTGAAACGTTGTTATTTTACATAACAAACAATTTACAAATAATTAAAATGATAGCGTTAGAAAATTACTAGATAAATTTTAAGCATTTAAATATAAATTATTTTTTGATGTTTAATGATTAATGTCTTAAACTTTGAAATTTAATATTAAAGTTGAATTATTTAATTATTCGAATATTTCAAATAATAGCGAAATAACAAAATAATTAAAAATATTCGAATTATTTATTTATGATAAAATTATTGGTTTTATTTCAATTCTATCATGAGTTTTTATCTAGTAGATAAAAGTAAACCTTTAATTGATGTATATAATATGAATAATATAAAATAATACTATTTACAATAATTATTTCTGAAATATAGCTTTAATATGAAATAAATAATAACAAATATTTCAATATTTTGTACGTACAAGAACGTACATGTCATTAAAGTCGGTTTTTCCGTAATTCGTCAATGAAATGCATGATCAAATATGAAGGTCACGTAACTGTAGATTTACATGTTTATATATTTATTATTAAGAAAAGAAAAAAAAATACAACTACGTAAATTGAATAAATATTCAAATATATCCGGATTTTTTTAAAAAAAATTCGGATATAAAATCCTGATTATAAATATTTCATAATTATTCGCCATCATATATTTGATTATTCTAGTCTTAATTTAATAATAATTTAATTTATTCTATAATATTTAGTAAAGATGAAAAAAAATTTAATAAACTTAACAAACTTACAATCATTTTCACAGCAAATTTAATCTTTTTTTTAAAATTTGAACCAAAATCGAAAAAACAATAAAATTGACGAAAAGAAAAAAGAATATAAATTGGAGTAGATTATCAGAATAACTTGACCGATTATAAGATTATCATTGATTTGTACGCATTAATACGCTACGTGACAGTCAGTCGAAATGTCATAAATTGCAACGCCCCCCAGAAATGTCACGATATCGTAATATACGTGATAATTTATCATCGAGTGAAAAGAGCACTTACGTTAGAAATTGTTATTCATCAGAAATTTTAATAAAAAAGTTTTCTAACATGTTAAAAAACAATTAATTAATTAATAACGCGTCGAAAAATTTGTTAACGTGTTTGGTATGTATAATACTGACTGATATAGAAATTTGTTCGAAACTTTATAATAATCTGTCAAAATTATCGATATTGCAATTTTAATATTACGTATCTGAAACATGAAATTTTAGATAGTTAAAAATTGACTGTTTTTCTTGTATTAAATTCTTGTGTTAAATAATTTTATATAAGTGCGAATTCATTTTCTCATAATATATTTACTATAGAATTGCGAAACTTTATAGTTTGGAAACTTTCGAAACTCTTGAAATTTAAAAACTTGAAATGCTTGTTTCCTTTTCTTCTCTAAGAGGTATCTATTTTATATCAAGAATTAAAATTTTAACGAAATTAGATTTCTGGAAATTTTCAAACATATTTAGCTATTTTTTGAATTTGCAAAAAGTTAACACTTTTACTTTTCATTTTTTTCTCTATATAAACTATTGTAAATTCGTGAAATTTAAAGAAAAAAAAAATATATAATTATAATATATAATTATATATATAAATATATAATTCAATTGGATTACTAGTAAAATTAAAATTTGAAATTTTTTTAATTTCCAAGGATTTTTCAAGTATAGCGTATTATTTAATTAGGAATTATAAAATAAAAATTTAATATATATTGTTTTAGTTAATTATAAATTGAATATGGAAATAATTTTTTTTTTATCTTTCATATTAAAATAATTTAATCTTAAGTAGATGTAAAAATACTCAAAATTTAAATTTGCTTAAAAATATTGATATATGATATTATGATATATTATGATAAAATGCAAATATCAATATGCTTTTAGATATGGAAGTCTGATAATGGCTTAAGTTAAATGGAAATTATTTTTTAAAAAATCCATATATAAAAATTGATATTTAAGAAAAGAATATAAATTTCTTCGCATGTTTTTATATTCTTTAATTTTAATATTGGATTTTTAATACTAATATTACTTAAAATAATATGAAATTACAGCATAGTTCTATTTTTTATCAATTGGACTTACATTATTATGATCTATATATTTTTCATTTCTATTGAATTGAAGAAACATCATTGGTCGATATTAATTGATTTGTGATTTCTATTCAAAAATTTTTAAAGAATCTTAATCATCGTTTGAAATCTAGCATTTTTCTTGTTCCTTGATGGAATATTCAATCGAATTTCGAAACGTATACTCCATCCTTGGCCCACGATTACATCGTGAACGTCGAAGAATATTCTCAAGATCCATGTTCATTCATCGTGATGACCAAATTGCGTATTGTGTCGGTTTATTAACGCTGAATAAGTAAATTATCAACACGTGAACAAGTTTCCTTCGTATATTCAGTGACGCACGAATCTCAACCAGAAAGTTAAATCGATCACGAAATTCAATTGGTTCAAAGTATATATATGTACACATGTAATATATATTTTATAACATTCATTATTTTTAATCAAAAATTCATTTTGATTAAATTTTTTATTGATCTTCTTATCCCGTTATCAATTCTATCTAAATGAAATCACTCAGTGATTTGAAATTGTTCGTGTACTCTATTATAAAGAAATTTACATAATCTGATAATTCTGATTCGAATGCAAGTGCAAGTAAATTATGAATTATATATTATATATATATATATATATTATATATATATATTTTTTTATATTGATTGAGAAATATAACTTGAAATTAAATTCTAAAGTTGAACGGAATTTTTTTCTAGAAACTTTTTTTTAATAACAGAGATGTTAAATTGATAGAGAATTAAAAATTAAATATTTTTTACACGAAAAATTTTATTTCATCTCGCGTTATTACAAAGTTATATTTAAAGAACGAAAGAAATTCGAAAGCGTTGATTTTTATCACTTAAAATAACGTTCCCTTGAAAGAAATTGTTCTAAATA